TGTATGTCTGTGCTTGTGTCTTTGTTTACCCCATGATGGACTGGTGCTGGGTTAGGTTTCAGATCTCCCACAACCATGAATTGGAAGAAGCAATTAGAAAAGTGGTGGATGGATATGCTAGAAAATGTTAGCATTACTAATGTTTTTCAAGTGAAATAGTTTATTTTTCTCTATAAGATCAGCCATCCTGCAGACTTTAAAAATTATTTGGGGAATGCACAGTATTTTTCCAGATGAAAGCATTTATTTGGGATACACTGTAGCTATCAGGTCATTAATGCATTAACATGACAGAAATGTAATTACCTATTCCTTGCTTCGTGAAAAGTAGAAACAAAATAATTTGCATGTCTACAAAGTCCCCAAGGATACTGTACTTTAACAGACCTTCAGAATGACTGAGAGCAGTGCCTGCATTATGAACTTTCATTAATATTTAGTTCCATTGTACTAAAGATAATTGATTTTTAAAAATACTTCATTTAAAGGCTACTGTCAGTACCATGAAATAACAGTTCTTAAAGAAAAATTGTACAGTTTTTGTTTTTTATGCAGTTATTGTGACTGTGTAGGTCTCCAACATTAAGTTATTAAAAGTGAATGGATAATGCCCGGAGTACAATTTAGTGTATAAGTCAGTAGTATGAAATGTGATACGTAGAGGTGAGAAAAAGCCATAAAAGGATTCAGATTTTAAATGTTTCGTCTTTCATAAATATTGGTGCATACCAGATAATGATAGCACCCTGATAAATCATCCATATGTTGTTTACTGGCATGTTAATGCTTAGGGAAATATGCAGATGAGGTTAGCTACAGTAAATATTTGAACAAAATAAATGATTGTTTTTTTGGAAATTTGTAAAAAGAAATGTTGTTATTTGGAAGAAGAAGTTATTTAGTTCATTTAGTCACACTACATAATTGGCCAAAACAATGTTTCTGAGGTCCCCTTAACTAGTTTCTAATTAGAAATTAACAGAAAACTGTTGTTCATTGCGTCCTCAGTAGGATAGAGCTGATGATACTGTACTCTACATTGAGTTCATAGCAAACCATTGTATATGGTATGCAGTATGGAGTAAGAAAAAAAGCATTAATTTTCAAGATAATACCTGAATTATGTTTGGACAAAAAGCTTCATATAGTAATGTCCTAAATGTAGCTATATGGAACTCGTTACATTTCCCAATTTTGATATTTCTGTAACTTTGGAATTCAAAACAAAGAATACATACAGTACTATCCATATTGTCGATGTTGATATCTCAAATTCCAGTACTAAATACATAATATTACATAAGTATTACGCTTAGACCTGCACAATTTAAATAAATCAGTAAATCATAAACATTATTCATACAGTAGTCTTTGACATTTCATATTAATTTATTCACATCTTGATATATTAAATGAAGTTTTATATGTATTCATTGTACTGTTATAGTAGTCAGTCTCCTGAATACTGATTTTTTATTCTCAGACACAGATTTTTTTTTATTTGTAAAGTTAAACTTTGATTATAATAACACTTCATATTATAAGACTTCTTATTATAAGACCATTAACAATGATGTTAAAATAGAGTCAGGTTCATAAATAACAGTCATGTCATTTGGCAACCTAGCAGCTCTGCAGACTAACATAGTATGTACAGAAACAGATGTTTGGTACAGTATTTCAGAATGAGTTTTCAGTTGGCATGTTTTTTCTATTCTTTAGATGACACAGGAAGTGCACGTCCTGTTAATTACCTGTCCAATTATCTGTCATTGTGGACATCTATATGTAGCCACTAAGTAAAACACAAAACCAAAAATCAGTCATTTTAGCACAGAAATTTAAGCAGTCAACAAAGGCTAGTGACACTTGCTGATATGTTAAGCAATGTATTGTTGCTTTGGGGCTACCATGGCAACTATAATACAGTACCTCCTAGATATTCAGCAGTGATGTTAAACAAGAGGCAAATATATAAAGCCCTATTAATTTCATCACATATTGTTAAATGCATCCATATGTAAATATCTTGTGGGTTTTTAGCAAATAGTTAAAGAGAAATAAATCATAATACAGTATGTTGTTATTAATACAAAACACCTCTTATACTAATTGTAATGAATCCTAAGTAGGTTTACCCATTGAAAAATAAGGAAATTATTAATCTCTCACAGATTCTGACTACTGTTTTAGAGATTGTAGATATCACAATTGTGATACAAAAATAATTCTCAAGAGGATCTGAAGAATGTGCATAGTATCTTTATATTAGACTTCCTGCTGTTGAAATAAACTTTTCATAAAAATAAATACATCTTTTGTCAAAGAAACTTTACATTTTAAGCAAGATGGCATGACATTCCTTCTATGTCAGTCAGTGTTTGTCAGGGATAGGTGAAAAACTAAGATCCTTAAAAAACATTTGTCATTGATATCCTATGAAGAAAATTGAGCTTTGAATCAAAAGTGTTTGAATAAGCAATCTCTTTATGTATACAAAGATCAGCAGATTTGGTTATCAGTGTTTTGTGCTCAAAGAGCTATTATACCCTAACATTACTTACATTATGAAACAATCTTTGATATATTCAAATATCATACAAAGCTGCATTGATTAACATTGCATGAGTCTATGAATATAGGAAATTAACCCAACTGACTAGTCTGACTTTCAGCAGAAAACCTCAAAATATCAATGAAACCAAATCAATTAGATTGATCTGAAGTGTAATACAGCAATCAATACATCAGTTACAGTCCATTCCATGACACTGAAATTAACATTTAACAGTAAAGCTTACTTAACCAAAGGAAGTAATTCATAAATGAATAGGTTGGAGGTGAAACACTGATGTCTTTAACACAGTAAGCTGTCATTGACAGGTACTGTATTTCTCTGCACTATTATCACCCAGTCAACCAGTATTATGCACAGCATTCCCCCAGGGCCACATGAATTCTTTAGAGGTACAGGTACAGATGCTTTATTCAGGATCTGTGCTACTCTGGTAACACATATATTAATTCAGATACTGTGTTCCTTTTGAAGAACTGTGTAGTACTACAGGTGTCGGAAGACAGGGTTCCTTACATTATATAACATATGGGCATAGAAAGTCAAAACCCCCATCAATATTATCTTCTATCATCTACAGAATTTAACACATTTCTCTAGAACAAAAGGCTTTGAAACTACCTGAGTCAAATTACCTTAACAGATCTTAATTATCACTAATGTTAATTTAGATATGCAAGCCTGTGATTAATTGCTAATTCACATTCAATGAAACAAACACCTGTTGAATAAAGTTCATAATGCTCTCACTGTTAGGGGATGATCTACAACAATTAATTGAATATTGCTGTGATTACTTTAATTATTCTTTACACCTGTTTATTTGGATTAAGTTGGCTGGCATCCTGAGGTTTCAAAACTGTTGTTGTATTATTTGACATTTTGCAGGACTCTAGTAATATATTCATTATTCATTATTATTCATAAACATTTTCTATTGTAACATCACATTTGTGGATACAATTTTATTATTCAAAAGCAGTAGGAGTCATAAAATATCAAGTTATAAAATGCTTTATCCATTGCACAAAACTAGGGTTTGTACTTTGTTGTGTGAATGTTTTCCTATCTATTGAATTGAAAAAGAAAACAATATGTTTTTGAATGTCAGTCAAGACTCATTCTGTTGTGTTAACTGTGCCCACAGTTTACCAGTCATACAGATCCTAAATAAATTCTGTTCACAAGAAAAATAAGAAAAGGGAAAGGGGTAGAAACAGCAATGTATTATCCAGCTAATTCTGTCATAAGATCATTCTGAAAGTACATAAAATTAGAAACTGAGGATCATTAAATGTTATTGACAGCTGATTATGCATAACTTCTCAAATACTTTTTTCCCCCAATATCTAAAAATTGTACAGTACTTACAGACTGATACAAAACAAGCAATTACAACAAAGGTAAAACTAAAATAGACCATCAGAAAGGTGATTTCAACATATACAAATGAGTTGAAATGAGAGCAAGCATTTACATTTCTTCTAAGGAGAAAATACTTTATGTGCAGTTTTACAGATCTCTGGACAATGCTGTGAACCATGTATAGAACAAGAAAGTGGAAACTGAGCTTCCAATCTATAATGAAATGTTTACAGCTGAAAGTATTTTCTCAGTGTTTTTTGTTGAAAGCACATATTGCTGTTAGTGTAAGTGATGTAACATCTACAAGCAAACTGCTTTGGGCTTTGAGTTCAGTAATGTGTTGTTGATGTCTAGGCAACAGATCCCCTCAGCATGGCCCCGATCCAAGTCTGTGTTTAACAGCTCTCCCAGGTTTTCCTAATGGACAACAGTTATCACCTGCCATGCAGAGTTCCTCCCATGAAGACATGTGGTCAGCTCAAATAACTCAAAGTGTTCTCATGCATCAGTCTAATAGTAGCTATATACTTGTGTATGAAGCTACATACTATGAAACACTGGCTTCCGATACATTGCGTTATATTAAAAGTAAAATGCATTGATTTCTGTGCCTGACAAATGTCATTGCACTTGTCACAAACAGATGTGCAGCTCAGAAAAACTGATAATTCTAATGCAGTTAATGTGTTGTTCAGAAGAGGCTGTGCCTAAACATAGATGCAGTATAAACATTTTATAACAGAACTCCTTATTTTTAGAATTTGTGCACAACCTTTGTATGGCTATATTTTAACACAATTAAAAAACAATTCTTTCAACCAATCCTACCCCCCCCCAAAAAAAAAAGAAAATAAATAAAAGCCTGATCAACAACAATGCAAAACTGAGTGGCTTTGTTTTACGGTTTGCAGTCATAAGGTTTGCAATAACTTAAAGCAGCACCACTGTGACATCCTGACACTTATTAAACTTTCAACACACACTGATGCATGCACGTGCTCTGCCCCCTTGCATGTCTTTGTCTGCTACAGGTAGAGAAGGACAGAAGGCTCCAGCTTACCAGTGTCTGTTGAGAAGAAAGCCCTGACCGCTTCGTCGACCCCTGTCTTGAGCTTAACCTCTTCCAGGACTCGGTGAAACGTCCGCGACTGGCACCCCGTCCTGACGCGTCGTCCCGTGTGGAACACCCTCTCTCCACCTCCCCCCGGCTACCCCACTTTTTCTTAGCCATTTCCAAAATGAGAGGTTTTTTAGACAGCCCAGACCTGATTCATCTGAAGCTCAACAGTTTCCCATCAGGTCAGCACGGGAGTCGCAGTCTGCTTGCCTGACACTGTTGCTGTTATTGTTGCATTTTCTCCTTCAGAGCAATTTCTAAATTGGTGGCTTGATAGCAGCCACGCCTTTTGTGTCGCGTAGTGCTATTCAGGTCTCAGTGCTGCTTCTGAAACAGCCAAGCAAATGCTGCTCCAAATCACTTCATTTCTGAATACACCTCTCTCTCCTTCACACACTCTCTCTCTCTGTCTTGCGTTCGCTTTCCTTCTTTACTGCCTGAGTTCACAGCCTGGGCTCTGTTCTTCATAGTGCGTTAAAGCCTTTGTATTTACCAAGATAAAAGAGGAGAGCAAAAGAGACCAGCTGGCTTGTGTTGCTGCTCCATTCTCCACTGCCTCAGACTTATTCAGCTCATTACGAGGAAACAGCACAACTGGGATCTCTCTCTTGCACAGGTTTTAGGAATTGCAGATCCCGACACTTTCTCCAAAACCAGAACTTGGTAAAAAGCACATAAAGAGCTACTCCACACTGAATGAGCATGCAAAAAACAGCATACTGTCTTTTAAAATACAATGCTAAACAGATAAGACATCGTCATTTAATTTTGAATAAAAGCACTGGTATTGAGAAAATCATAACATGTAATGGCTTTAATAACTGTCTTCTTAGAAAGTGCTTAAATTGATTTAACTCTTTAGGTTACCGACTGTATAGTAAGTATGGTAGGCTGTTCTTTCAGTACAGGCTGGGAATGAGGGGTACAAACTAACGCAGATTATGTCTGTACATAGAAATATCGATAGTGCTTTCACTTTCATATAAATCGAGAAACAGAAATATCCTCAGAAAAAGACTCAGATTTATATTTATAATAAATGCCTTCTTGAGAAGCTACAGGAGGAAAAAAGATTATAATCTACAATAACAATTTTGTTAATTTAATTTCAAACTTTTGCATTGCACAATTTGTGTTCTGAAATACAACTGATTGTGCATTCAGTACTGTGTAAAGGGTTCACAGGTTCTCAGTCAAACCCACTTAATGTATTTTTAAGATTTCTGCAAACGTACTGTATGTAGAAGTTTTTACTCTTGGGTTAATATCTCACACCAGATGTCTAGTAATTGTAGTAATAATAATACTTACAACAACAATAATAATTTAAGATATTGAAACAGTAGTTTAATAAATATTAGTTAAAAATCATTTTAACTTCAGTATTTAAGTCAGCATAAAACAATACCTTTCCATTTGTAAAACGTTCTAGGTGATTTGGGCTAATTTTTAGGTAAACAATACAAGTTTCTATGCAAACAAAATTCTGTGAATGTGTTTCAGGGTTGTCTCACAGCTTGGATTTGGCACCTGAAATCACTGTACAGAAAACAAAAAACACGGAACAGTGCAATCGCAAGCTCAGATGTGCTGTTGATTGCCTTTGGGTAAAAAATCCCTCAAGGATCAGGGTTAATAAACATTGAAAGGAGATTTCCAGCCACCTCAAGCACCATTTGTATAAGGAAGACAGAAAGAATGAGGAAGATGGATGGGCAGAAACAAGAGGCAACCAAAGACACCAAAAGACTATGCATACTATTACACTGGATAGATAGTTATGATATATGCATGTTTGAAAAATAAAAAAACTCATTTGTTTCAGTGAAATCCAGACAAAGGATTGTGTAACATAATACCCCAAAAATGTAAGGGCCGTCCAATTTCAAAACAGTTTACACAATGGCATTGAAAAGAATTGGGATGGAACTGAGATGAAAACAGACTGTTTGTTTGTTTGTATCCACCAAAATGTCAAAACCTCAAATTCCCAAAACAAAGCCAAGACTGTGGATTTTCACAAAGCATGTTTTTGTTGTCATATTGTATGTCCAATACACATGAGTAGAAGTTTTTAAAAACAGGTTCATGTAACTATTTCACATACAGTAGATGCAAAACCATGGACAAGTGGAAAGCCATTGGCATACAATGACTCAATGGTACCCCAAGGGCACATCTGAATGTCTCACAGTAGGTCTTTAATTTTGCTGAAATTACTTCTTTGCAGATGCAACATCACCATCAGCCCAGCCTGCCAGGCAAGAGGGCCTAGATCAATCCCCTCCACAGGGTAACATTCACTCTCGTCATGGACATGTAATTACTCAGCACATCCAGGAGAGGAATGTCCAAATTGTACAGTATCTTGGACAGCTTTATTCGTCTTAAATTTAGTCCTTCAAGTAGTTAATTGAAATGCATTTACTGTATAACATTGTGAGGAATGCTTTCTTGTGATAATTGCATTGACCTTCCTATTTTTACACTTCCCCCTTTAATTATTTCACAGAATTACAAAGAAAAAATATATATACAGTACAGCACACATCAGTTTTTTTTTTCAAGGCTTGAAGGCAGAACCTCATTTTGTATGGCATTACAGATACTCTGATTTGAAATACTGTCATTTAAAAATGCTCCACATTTTACCCCCTTCCCTCATGTAATCTTTAAAACAAGGGAATAATCCCATACAGGCATAAGTCATGTTTTACAGTCATCGTTCTGAAAAAGCAATTAAAACTGCATTACTTTCTTTGAGTGTTATTTGGTAATTTTTAGTTGAACTCTTTGTACCCATCAATGAAGCTATATATAAATTTAATGGTTCCTGGGTAATTAACATATACAGTTATATGTTTTTTTTAGTTCTAATTGATAAAGAAAGTATCTCAAATGTATTTAAACTGTAAACACTTAGAGACATTATTAACTTGCTCATTTTCTACAGTATATGCTTACATCTTAACAAAACATTATATCAGGATACATTTTAAAGGCCATCATTAAAGATTTAGAAACTGCATAAACAACATGATCAAGAAGACATCCAGGCATTTTTTACGCTTCAGAAAGAGCATGTTTTAAGTCCCAGAATTAAAAAAAAATATTACATGTGAACAAACTGGGAACTTGTACTCAATACTAAGTCTAACTTTTGCTAAGACTGTTTTTAAACATTATCAGGTTTTCAAAGCTTTTTTTTTTGCTTTAGGGACTCACATGCTTCCTAATTTACTTATTATAAAAAAGGCTATCAGTACAAACCTGAGGAGAATGTGTAGTTTTGCAAAAGAGAAGAGCATTGCTTATTTCAATCTGATCATAGGTTACATTAATAAAAATGGAGGAACAGCAGAAGTGGAGAACATTACAGTACAACAGAAACAAGTCCTTTCCCAGTTGTTCAAAGTGAAAGTTCCTCTTAAATTTGCCAAAACGACTTTAATAGGTAATACTTTCATAGTCCTGAAGATGGGTACAAACAGTACACATCTAATATACAACAGAGCATAATTTACTGGGTTAACAGACTGTACTTACAATGCATGTTTTGCTTGATTTTTAATTTTGGTTGGCGTTTTTCCCCACATTCAAGTTATGAAAATAATGTGAAGTGGATATTGTCCAGGTATAGATTAAATGATAAAACTTTATACAGTATACTGTCCTGTTAGTCCCTCATAAAATCAAGAATGCTTTTTAGGACAAAGGGAAATAATCTAGGACATCACTGATCTTCCAAATTAAATTCTACATAATAAAATGTGAGTTTCATCTTTTTAATTTCTGTATTTTTTGAATTGTTGGGCAGTATTAGCTAATAGCTTGTCTGGCACAACATTTACATTCTTCTTAGTCCATGAATGGATCCTATTTCTCCGAAGAGCTGCTTTAAATGCAGTTCATTGTTCACGTGAATGACAGAGCTTCTGTAAAGGTCGTACCAATTTATAACACTAATTAAAAATTTACAATTTCTTGCTGAGCCAGACCATGATTTTACTAAACAGAGCTCTCCATGTTTTTTTCTATTTGATTCATATTCATTTGAGTTTATTCTTTATGCATAACAGCAGAAAAAGCAATTCTCTTGTTTTGTCTTGTTTTTTAAAAAACTATTTCTAAAAATATGATTTCTAAAAGATATCCATGTTAATAGGTTATTTTTATCTTGATATGTGAAATGCAAATATCGTCAGGATGTTGAATGAAGATTTATTTTTGTGAAGTAATTAGGAGTAGAAATGAGCAATTTTGCCATTGGTCATTCTTGTGGAGGACAATAACACCAATACCATACCAATTTCACCTCTAACACACACAACTGTTTTTTTTAAACATTAAGTAATGGGAAAATAACAGGTTAAGATTTAAAAATGTTATAAAGCCCGGTCAAATATTTTCATTATTGTTACAGCTCATTTTAATTTCCAGAGACAAGTGTGTATTTTTGTTTTCTTGAGATAGAGAAGCTTAACATTTCCATAGTAACTCAGTGTGTTAAGTTGTGAAAGAAAGTATGGAGTTTGTCATTGTTCAACTTGGCTCTTCTCTGAAGATAGAAAAATAACATGTTTTATATTCAAGTTGCCAAACAGGAACAATAAGTACACCAGGCTTTTTTTTTTCTTTCAAGTAATACTCTACAGTGCAGTCACAAAAGGGATCTTCAAAAACAATTTTAAAAAAGCACAGTAAGTGAATGCTGAAGGTAGTGATATATTAATATTGTTCAGTAATAGTGAGAAATGGCATCAATAATAATACAAAATACAGACATTTTAGACATTTGGCATGATAACATCTCATAGGTGGTATCCATAGATGCAAATGCTATGGACTATATTTTATTAATGATGCATTTTTCTCATTGCCACCTTTGAAGTTGATTTGTGGTTATTTACATACTGTATTGCTCACTGTAGCAAGAGTGCAATAACATGATGATTTCCACGTTCTGTGATGAGAGATGCTGAAAAGGTTGTCAGCTGAATGCCTAAATTAACGTTAACCACCAAACTGCAGTAAATTCCTTTCGAACAAGAGTGCCAGGTATACCTTTCCTAGCCTGTAACTGTTCATGGAGTTATCACCTTAGCCATCTAAAACACAGTTTAGAAGAATGAAAGTTAACATACTGTATATCTAAAATACTGGATGTATTATCCTTGTTTCACAAGGAAATGTGCAAGTTGCAGCAGCACTTAAACATTGCATTTAATAGATGGGCACTGCAACACACAAGGAGAAATTTAAATAAATCTGGCTCATGTTTTAGTCCTTGTACTTATTATCTGTGAACATCCAGTGGCCTAATTCACACCAGATTGTCAAGACAACATAATAACTGTACATTATAGGCTGGTCAATCAACATTTAAAATGTGTGTGAGTTATTTTCAGGTCCCTATGTGAAAGTGTCAGCAAAGCTATTTATTAATATTTTGCATGTACAGAATTCTCCAACTCAAACATCTGTTACCTTTTGTCTTTACATGTTCGTTGCCTACTGTATTGTCTGCCTTTTTT